TCTGTTTCTCTTCTCTTCTGGTCCCTCTGTGGTTCCTTTCTAGTCATTTATTGCTCTAACTTGCAAGGTATCAGAAGCCCTATTTATTACGCCTTTTGAGCTGCTTTTATTATGTCAAATGTACAGAAGATAACTACTGAAACTTGTGATTTGAGTAGTATCATCTTGTAAAGGATTTATATTTTTTGGTTTATTTAGCCGAAAATGTGAGGTTGTATTTTTTTCCTCCTAACGAAAGGCAACCTCTATTACTTCTCATGCTGGTAAATTGGCATTCAATTTAGATGCATCATTTGATATTCTGCAGCCAAGACTTCATTTCTCATAAATGTCTTTTTTTATCTCTGATATATCAGTTTCTAGCTCTGGTGCGGGGGCCCTACCTTATTAGGAGATGAGCAGATGTAACAAATAAGTGACGTTAGATTAGTGAATATAGTGCCTTGGCTGGTGGACAGTTTGATTGTGGGTAGGTGGTGATGCGGATGGTGTTTTCCTTCTCCTCCAACAGTCATTTGGCACCGCTTGAAGTAGCAATTAAAGACCATCAAATCTTTGAGTTGACAAGTTACGACGTGCTTAAACGTTTGATGGGTGATTTAAAGACGCCACAAGCCCTGGACTTTTAAAATGTTAAATTGCTTTAAAAAAAGTCTCTCACAAAGAGTTGAAATGAATGTGAAGACAAAGGCTTTGGGAATGGGCAACTAAATTTTTCATCTTTTAGGCCAAATTCTTTGCTAAGCACATCAAGCTAGGTTTGGGGGAAGAGGGAATGGAATGCTCTTACCTTGCGGAATACGAAATTGAGCCACTTTTATTTCAAACCCATTCTCAATACAAGCCTGTCCTTTGGGCGATTGTCTAAGGCCAAGCGGAGGTGACGGTCATCACCTCAAGGAAACATAATCAGACTGATGGGAGGGTGAGACGTTTTTTTATTTTCTCTCTTCTTTGCTGTCTCTCACTTTAAGACACAAGCCTTCGCAGATGTCGGTTTTGCAGCGATGTGAAGTATTGTACTCTCTTGTAAGAATAAGAGCAGTTCTTGCACCCAAAAAACTCTCAACTTTTGGTAATGTGAACAAGAAAAATATAAAATTTGCATAACTGATTTGAATGAGTTTTATTCCATTTTCGGTCCTACTTATTCTAATCTGGCCCCATTTAAGTAGCATGTACTCGGGTCACTAATATCACTTAAGATGAAGGCATATCTGTTTGGGCTTCCATAAATATTGTCAAGAAAACATTTGGACTCATCCATTTTCTGTCATCCCAGATGCACAAAGCTTGGCTTTTTAGACCACCTTCCCAAACTAACTGCATTAGAAGAAAAAGGGGAAAAAAAATCAAAATATTTGGCAGTCGTTTTGACTTTCCACTTGGCTGAGGAACAGTTTGATTGGCAGGTGATTGTTGTGATGAAACATCACCTTCGCCAAACCTCGCCTGACATTTCCGGCACAACTCACGACAAAGTTGCCATTAATAAGTCATCTGACACAGACGGTTGCCCTGCCAACCCCAAAGAGTAAATGCAGAGAGAAAGAAAATTTTCTAGTTTTTTCCTTCCTTCTCGTCAAAATCACTATTCTACAAACTGCTCCCGCCTTCCCTTCGGCTCTCTCTTTCGTCAAGTCTGCTGTTGTCATGTCGGGTATAAAGAAGACCTCAACTTTCTGGTTAACAATATGCTTTACCGATCACCCTCCATCCAATCATATTTTCTGCTTACTCAAGGATGGCCGATTTATGACCCGTAGAAAACTTAGGCGAGGGGGCCGAATTCTCGGTCCGTATTGACCCCCTCCTCCGCTAGTCCATTCACGTTTTACAGCCCCACTTCAGTGGATGATGATGGTGCTTTGTCGTGATATACGTCCTAGACGCCACGCAGCAAATTCCCCATTTAATTGCGTCCTTCTAAAGTCAGAACATAAATAACCTCTTCATCTAAGATAGTATCTGCAACTCAGCACCTCATCTCATTAGCGTGGATAGGATCAACACCCCATCCTGACTTATCAATTTGTCATTTTTGACAATGCCCTTTCCCTTCCACCCCTCTGCAAAAGCCGCACTGGTGGGACATCTCACAACTCGAGTAGACGTTTTAAAAAAAACTTTTTGTTGTCCCATCCATTTTTGTAGGGCGAGCAAGTCGTTGAAAATAAAACCAGTATGGAGTTGATAGATTTGACAGAAGATAACCACCAGACTTGTCGATTGACAGGACAGACCGAACAACGACGATCTTTAAGAAACTTTTCCAACTCATTGTGGTGACATTCTTACCTCCTCCAACCTGCCACATTTGCTGCTGCCTCGTTCGGTCTCGCAATTCCTCCAACCCCAAGACCTCAATAGTTGAGAAGTCGGCGACCGCGGTGAAGTTAATGTTATACAAAACATACGTTGAGAATTTTACCTTTGTTCTGATCTTCCAACACCGAATTCGCTCCCTTAAATTGAGAAGACTGTTTGGGGAAGGCATCTTGTATTGTGTTAATGACGGACCTGACAACTTGTCAAAGTTTATTAGGGGGTACCAGAGTTTGCCTCCTCCTCCTCCTCCTCCTCCTTGAGAATCGATGCCTCCTCCTGGGTTTAAACCACTCACTCGCCGCCTAAAAAGGATACATTCAAACAAACCCTTATTACAGTGCACCAATCTTAATTGAGGACCAACTGCCACTTACTAGTTAACTCTCCTCGGAAAATTAATCCATCAAAATGAGATGATTTAGTTAACCCTTTTCTATCGAAATGCGGAAATTAAGTTGGAAACACTACTTACACACGAAATCAACTAGCGTAGTCAAAGCGGGGGATAGAGCTGCTGGTGTGCCAAGCTCCCAAGGTAAGTGGACAGAAAGGCACACCCCCCTACCCCAAATGATGAGTGGGCATGGTATTTTTGAACTTTTGAGTTTCCATTTGGCAGGACAAAATAAGTAAAGAGCTCTGCCTCACTCTGACAATTACTGGCACAACTCACCACAAAGTGGATCAGAAGCCCTTGCGACAGACTAAAAGCCTCAAATCTGAGGCAATTTTTTGCCTTATGGTGGAAAGGAAGATTAAAAGGAATGCCTTATGGAAGCCTCTACTCAAAGATAACCCTTAACACTCCTTTTCAATAGCCAGCACCCCTCATGGAGGAATGGTAGCACTTCCTCGGCAAATATCGAAGCTACAAATAGCCACCGAAATTGGACAACGTTCTGCAGCCCATCGTAGCTACTTAGCCATAAACTCATCTTCTCAATTCCTGTCGTTGCGTCCTTGCTAAGTACACATTAAGAAGTCGGTAAGCACTCAAAGGAGAACCACATTTCCGTGACCGGAGAAGAGGAAAACAAAGGCGCTCGATTTTTCCTCTCCCATTCAACGAACGCATCCATCAGTGGGAGTGCCTTTGATCTGCTTCAGTTAAGACATTTTTGCCTCCTTTTTTGTAAATACAAAGATAACTTGGATTATTTAAAAGAAGCTTCCAAATTTCTATTTCTGGGTAGAAAAAAAAGTTATCTATTTCAATTCTCTGCCTTATACACGGGCAGGAGTGTCATCGGAATGCTAGAAAGAGCAACTGCGTCGCATACTAGTTTCTACGAACAATGCAGAAGGGAGTTAGCTTGTCGGGTAGGAGAAATGGGTTCATCCGATTGGTTGTGTTTGTCATGGGTGTAAATTTCGTGGGAGGTAAATGCTTACAGCCTGGTGAGATGTCAGTCTGACAGGGAAGCAGTAGTGCCACCGATATTAACGAAGTGATGACGGCTGCATGCAAGAGAGAATCGCCTTCTAGTCATTCACTCGTCAATCGGACCTTCAGTGATGAGGCGAAAGCAAATTTCTACAACCTAAATACATCTCTTAGCAAATTGCTAATGACTTTGTCAAATTTTTTTTGATAGGATACTTTCATTTACCCCTCCTGGTAGATTGTAGAAGATTGGCTTCAGCACTACTTCTTCAGCCACGTCGATGGGAAACGTGCTCTTCCTAATAAAGCCTGGCGTTTCTCCATGTTAGTATTTTCTGTTTCAGCAGTTGATGGCGTGGATGGAAGACCACAACTTGATGCAATTTTGCCTGCTACAAATCAGTCAAGAACACGTGTCACACATGTGTGACGCTTACTGCTAACGTGTTAACGTGTTCCAAAGCACTGAGCACACTAGCAAGACCTTCCAAATGAGTTGCTCCAAGGTTACAACAAATCTGTTTCTCTTCTCTTCTGGTCCCTCTGTGGTTCCTTTCTAGTCATTTATTGCTCTAACTTGCAAGGTATCAGAAGCCCTATTTATTACGCCTTTTGAGCTGCTTTTATTATGTCAAATGTACAGAAGATAACTACTGAAACTTGTGATTTGAGTAGTATCATCTTGTAAAGGATTTATATTTTTTGGTTTATTTAGCCGAAAATGTGAGGTTGTATTTTTTTCCTCCTAACGAAAGGCAACCTCTATTACTTCTCATGCTGGTAAATTGGCATTCAATTTAGATGCATCATTTGATATTCTGCAGCCAAGACTTCATTTCTCATAAATGTCTTTTTTTATCTCTGATATATCAGTTTCTAGCTCTGGTGCGGGGGCCCTACCTTATTAGGAGATGAGCAGATGTAACAAATAAGTGACGTTAGATTAGTGAATATAGTGCCTTGGCTGGTGGACAGTTTGATTGTGGGTAGGTGGTGATGCGGATGGTGTTTTCCTTCTCCTCCAACAGTCATTTGGCACCGCTTGAAGTAGCAATTAAAGACCATCAAATCTTTGAGTTGACAAGTTACGACGTGCTTAAACGTTTGATGGGTGATTTAAAGACGCCACAAGCCCTGGACTTTTAAAATGTTAAATTGCTTTAAAAAAAGTCTCTCACAAAGAGTTGAAATGAATGTGAAGACAAAGGCTTTGGGAATGGGCAACTAAATTTTTCATCTTTTAGGCCAAATTCTTTGCTAAGCACATCAAGCTAGGTTTGGGGGAAGAGGGAATGGAATGCTCTTACCTTGCGGAATACGAAATTGAGCCACTTTTATTTCAAACCCATTCTCAATACAAGCCTGTCCTTTGGGCGATTGTCTAAGGCCAAGCGGAGGTGACGGTCATCACCTCAAGGAAACATAATCAGACTGATGGGAGGGTGAGACGTTTTTTTATTTTCTCTCTTCTTTGCTGTCTCTCACTTTAAGACACAAGCCTTCGCAGATGTCGGTTTTGCAGCGATGTGAAGTATTGTACTCTCTTGTAAGAATAAGAGCAGTTCTTGCACCCAAAAAACTCTCAACTTTTGGTAATGTGAACAAGAAAAATATAAAATTTGCATAACTGATTTGAATGAGTTTTATTCCATTTTCGGTCCTACTTATTCTAATCTGGCCCCATTTAAGTAGCATGTACTCGGGTCACTAATATCACTTAAGATGAAGGCATATCTGTTTGGGCTTCCATAAATATTGTCAAGAAAACATTTGGACTCATCCATTTTCTGTCATCCCAGATGCACAAAGCTTGGCTTTTTAGACCACCTTCCCAAACTAACTGCATTAGAAGAAAAAGGGGAAAAAAAATCAAAATATTTGGCAGTCGTTTTGACTTTCCACTTGGCTGAGGAACAGTTTGATTGGCAGGTGATTGTTGTGATGAAACATCACCTTCGCCAAACCTCGCCTGACATTTCCGGCACAACTCACGACAAAGTTGCCATTAATAAGTCATCTGACACAGACGGTTGCCCTGCCAACCCCAAAGAGTAAATGCAGAGAGAAAGAAAATTTTCTAGTTTTTTCCTTCCTTCTCGTCAAAATCACTATTCTACAAACTGCTCCCGCCTTCCCTTCGGCTCTCTCTTTCGTCAAGTCTGCTGTTGTCATGTCGGGTATAAAGAAGACCTCAACTTTCTGGTTAACAATATGCTTTACCGATCACCCTCCATCCAATCATATTTTCTGCTTACTCAAGGATGGCCGATTTATGACCCGTAGAAAACTTAGGCGAGGGGGCCGAATTCTCGGTCCGTATTGACCCCCTCCTCCGCTAGTCCATTCACGTTTTACAGCCCCACTTCAGTGGATGATGATGGTGCTTTGTCGTGATATACGTCCTAGACGCCACGCAGCAAATTCCCCATTTAATTGCGTCCTTCTAAAGTCAGAACATAAATAACCTCTTCATCTAAGATAGTATCTGCAACTCAGCACCTCATCTCATTAGCGTGGATAGGATCAACACCCCATCCTGACTTATCAATTTGTCATTTTTGACAATGCCCTTTCCCTTCCACCCCTCTGCAAAAGCCGCACTGGTGGGACATCTCACAACTCGAGTAGACGTTTTAAAAAAAACTTTTTGTTGTCCCATCCATTTTTGTAGGGCGAGCAAGTCGTTGAAAATAAAACCAGTATGGAGTTGATAGATTTGACAGAAGATAACCACCAGACTTGTCGATTGACAGGACAGACCGAACAACGACGATCTTTAAGAAACTTTTCCAACTCATTGTGGTGACATTCTTACCTCCTCCAACCTGCCACATTTGCTGCTGCCTCGTTCGGTCTCGCAATTCCTCCAACCCCAAGACCTCAATAGTTGAGAAGTCGGCGACCGCGGTGAAGTTAATGTTATACAAAACATACGTTGAGAATTTTACCTTTGTTCTGATCTTCCAACACCGAATTCGCTCCCTTAAATTGAGAAGACTGTTTGGGGAAGGCATCTTGTATTGTGTTAATGACGGACCTGACAACTTGTCAAAGTTTATTAGGGGGTACCAGAGTTTGCCTCCTCCTCCTCCTCCTCCTCCTTGAGAATCGATGCCTCCTCCTGGGTTTAAACCACTCACTCGCCGCCTAAAAAGGATACATTCAAACAAACCCTTATTACAGTGCACCAATCTTAATTGAGGACCAACTGCCACTTACTAGTTAACTCTCCTCGGAAAATTAATCCATCAAAATGAGATGATTTAGTTAACCCTTTTCTATCGAAATGCGGAAATTAAGTTGGAAACACTACTTACACACGAAATCAACTAGCGTAGTCAAAGCGGGGGATAGAGCTGCTGGTGTGCCAAGCTCCCAAGGTAAGTGGACAGAAAGGCACACCCCCCTACCCCAAATGATGAGTGGGCATGGTATTTTTGAACTTTTGAGTTTCCATTTGGCAGGACAAAATAAGTAAAGAGCTCTGCCTCACTCTGACAATTACTGGCACAACTCACCACAAAGTGGATCAGAAGCCCTTGCGACAGACTAAAAGCCTCAAATCTGAGGCAATTTTTTGCCTTATGGTGGAAAGGAAGATTAAAAGGAATGCCTTATGGAAGCCTCTACTCAAAGATAACCCTTAACACTCCTTTTCAATAGCCAGCACCCCTCATGGAGGAATGGTAGCACTTCCTCGGCAAATATCGAAGCTACAAATAGCCACCGAAATTGGACAACGTTCTGCAGCCCATCGTAGCTACTTAGCCATAAACTCATCTTCTCAATTCCTGTCGTTGCGTCCTTGCTAAGTACACATTAAGAAGTCGGTAAGCACTCAAAGGAGAACCACATTTCCGTGACCGGAGAAGAGGAAAACAAAGGCGCTCGATTTTTCCTCTCCCATTCAACGAACGCATCCATCAGTGGGAGTGCCTTTGATCTGCTTCAGTTAAGACATTTTTGCCTCCTTTTTTGTAAATACAAAGATAACTTGGATTATTTAAAAGAAGCTTCCAAATTTCTATTTCTGGGTAGAAAAAAAAGTTATCTATTTCAATTCTCTGCCTTATACACGGGCAGGAGTGTCATCGGAATGCTAGAAAGAGCAACTGCGTCGCATACTAGTTTCTACGAACAATGCAGAAGGGAGTTAGCTTGTCGGGTAGGAGAAATGGGTTCATCCGATTGGTTGTGTTTGTCATGGGTGTAAATTTCGTGGGAGGTAAATGCTTACAGCCTGGTGAGATGTCAGTCTGACAGGGAAGCAGTAGTGCCACCGATATTAACGAAGTGATGACGGCTGCATGCAAGAGAGAATCGCCTTCTAGTCATTCACTCGTCAATCGGACCTTCAGTGATGAGGCGAAAGCAAATTTCTACAACCTAAATACATCTCTTAGCAAATTGCTAATGACTTTGTCAAATTTTTTTTGATAGGATACTTTCATTTACCCCTCCTGGTAGATTGTAGAAGATTGGCTTCAGCACTACTTCTTCAGCCACGTCGATGGGAAACGTGCTCTTCCTAATAAAGCCTGGCGTTTCTCCATGTTAGTATTTTCTGTTTCAGCAGTTGATGGCGTGGATGGAAGACCACAACTTGATGCAATTTTGCCTGCTACAAATCAGTCAAGAACACGTGTCACACATGTGTGACGCTTACTGCTAACGTGTTAACGTGTTCCAAAGCACTGAGCACACTAGCAAGACCTTCCAAATGAGTTGCTCCAAGGTTACAACAAAATTTACACTCATACAAGAAGAAGGCGCTACCACTGTTACTACTACAAATCGTGTCTACATTTGACTTGTGATTACCAACACTTAGGCCAACACCCTCTCCACCAAATCGCTGCGGATTTGCCACGTCTTT